AGATTTAAAACTTCAGAACATCAAGAATCACAAATAATACTAAAAGGCAAACAATCAGGAAAAGTACTAAAAATATATTTTTTTTAAATTTTCCTCAATATAAAGTCCTCCTACCAACTGATGAGAAAACCCCTAAAACTCCAAAGGAAAGATGAGCAAAGAGATTGATGATGTACAAAAGAAGAAATATACAGACACACAAAACTCTAGTGAGTATTTGACAATGCGTTGAACCTCACAGCAATTAAAACAAGTTGTTATTTTCCACTTTTCAAATTAGGGGAAATAAAATAAATTGCTTCTAATTCCCAGTGTTGGGGGAGATTGCACTGAAATGGGCTCTCAAATGCTTCTGGAAGAAGTTTAAACTCGCAGAACACTCTGGAAAACAACCTACTCCATGCCTTAAAAATGGGCTAGGAATTCCACTTGGAAGACCTTAATCCTACGGAAAAACAATCAAAGATGAAGACCAAGATTTATACACAACAGTACTTTTTGCAATAATGTAATAGAGAAAAACTAAAAACAATCTAAATTTTCAGCCAAAATGACATATTGTTGTTGTTACACGCCATTAAGTCAATTCTAACTCATAGCAACCATAAAGGACACTTGCCCCATAGAGTTTCCTAGGCTGAAATCTTTACAGGTACAAATCACCAGGCCTTTTCTCCAGAGCAGCTCGAACCCCTGACTTTTTGGTTAACAGCTGAACACAACCATTGCACCACCAGGGCTCCTTGCAAAATGACACAGTTAGTCAAATTATCATTTTCCTATTCCAGGAATGCATAATCTAAAAAAAAAAATTTTTTTTTTTAAATTTCCAAAACATAGGTCAGAAGGTTTATTTCCAAGAGTATGTAGCCCCCCCCCAAAAAAAAAAAACTCACTGCCATTGAGTCAGATCCGACTCACAGCAACCCCTCCTTGGGTTTCCAAGGCAGTATCACCACACAAGTAGATTGTGCAATCTCCCTTCCAAGGGTGTATAGCCCAGAACCACCATATTCACCCTGCACACCCAGGTCAAGCTGGTTCTAACTCACCTCTTGGGGCTTAAGATAGGACTTTCTTTAAAAAAAAAAAAATACCTCTCAGCATGCAGCCCTGGGGACCTGAATGGTCAGCTAACACCTCTATTTCTCAAAGCCCTATTTCACCAAAGGTAATTCCATTTACTGACTCAAAAGGCACAGCTAAACAGAAACCACAGCTCCAATCCCTGCTCAGAAATATTCAGTGGCTGCTCACAGCCCATAGAAGGGAATGTAAATCCTGCAAACACTCAGCCTGGCAGGCTTGGCCCAACCTCATCTCTCGCTCCCCACATTTCGTATTCACTCCTTCTACACCCTGTCTTTCCCACACACCTGTCCCTACATATCAACCATCCAGACCATCCTCCAGCCACTACCTAGCCAAGCCCTCCGTCATTGCTGTATGCCCAGCACCTAGCATCAGCCAGCATATGGTCAGCACCCAACAAACACTTATTCATGTTCTGTAAACCCTGTTCCAAGGCTTCTTACTCAGATTTTTTTTTTTTTAATTGTGATTTGGGTGAAAGTTTACAGAGCAAATTCATTTTCCACACAGCATTTCATACACATTTTGTTTCATGACATTGATTGTAATTCCCCACAATGTAACAGCTCTCTTCCCACTTCCTTCCTGTAGTTCCCTGTTCCCTGTGTCCTTCCCTTCCATGCAATCCCAATCACCCCACCCCACCCCACCCCGGCTTCTTAGATAGCCTTTTATTAGTCCCTTCCCTCCCTGAGATAACACATGACACTTTCTACTGTCTACCTAGCCTGTCTCCAACCCACTGCCAGCTCCTTGGTACAAACCGTGCCTTTCACACTGCAAGCCTTACAGGGCTCTGCACAAAACATGTACTCAGTAAGCACTGAAGTACCCTTTCTCCTCTGGACCTGGGTATTTGGAGGGACACAGTATGGTGGTTAAGTTTGTGTGTCAGCTTGTCTGGGCCTGGTTGAGTGGCTGGGCAGCTGGATGTAGTATTCCCCACGATGAGACTGGTAATCAACTCCACGGTGGGATCTACCACAAGCAGCTGAGTAGCTGCCTTTGGGTATGTGGTCTGCTTCCCATATATAAGAAACAGCTTCAGGAATGGTCTGTAGCTTATGGCACACTTGAACCCTGCACGTAGCCGTGTCGTTGTTCAGCAGCCTGCCATGCTCTGCCAACCTTGGGACTTTCAACGGACTTGAATTAATGGCCCTACATGTGGTTTGGTAACTTCAGGACTGTGCTATTTTATTTGTCGACCTTGGGTTTATCAGCCTTAGTAGCTAACAGCTGCCTGAGTAGAGAGATGCCTCTAGCTTCAGTGGGCCGGGAGCAAGAGGCAGAGCTGAAGCCCAAGGTCGAGGGGCTTTCACACAGCTCCTGGAGCCTGGCACTTGGAATTCAGACTTCTAGCCTCCTGAACTGTAAAAGAACAAACTCCTGTTTGGTAAGGCCATCCCATTTGTGGCATATTCTTGTCAGAGCGGCACTAGGTAACCAAAACACATAGTCTGGAGAATGGGGTAGGAGGGTCTGACCTTTTGCTTCTTGAAGGATGGAATGATGGGATGAGCTCAGAGAAGGTTGGAGACACACACTACTGCTCAGGGCCTACAGAGGAGGGAAAGGTTGGGAGATGGAAGGGGGCCTACATGAAGCTAGTGGTCAGAGGTGTGTGTGGTGGGGACAGCCCTCGGGAGCCCTGGTTTGGGCCTTGAGTCACCATGTCTGGCTCTGAAAGGCTGTTATCCTGTCCTGCAACTAAAGGCCATTATTTTAGAGACAAATATGTGTTATAAATCAGAAATGAAGTCACCCTGGCAGGTGGCCTTTGGTAAGGAGTCCCATCAGTGTCCTGAGCATCAGTTTACACAACCATAACATCAGGAGCAAATTATCCAATAAGCAAGGTAAGCATAGGCTTACTTGTGCTTAGTAATTAATTTGTAGTGAACAGTTTCATGGGATTACCTTGCTTACTGGGTACTCAGCCCTGTAAGGGATGGTAAATTTGAAAAGAGGCTTTGATTCTATAGTAAGGTGCTGTGGGGTTGGGAGAGAAAGAGATGCCAGCCACACCTACAAGCAGAAACTCTGATGTGGTGAAAATGTGAAATTGTTCACTACAGATTAGTAAGTAAGCACAGGCAGGTCCACGCTTACCTTGCTTATTGGGTAACCTGACACTGTCTAAGGAAGGGTGAACTGGGTATGATCTCTGAACTTCTTCAATCTAATGTCTCTGGAAGCCCAAGAACAATCCAGAAAGGAGGTGAGAGGAGCATTGAGGGTGATCCTATCCTAGCTGAAGTCCTAGGACACACCACATACTCCCCCAAGTCAGAACTGTTCTTAAGGAGCTCTGGTAGCATAGTGCCTAAGGCACTTGACTGCTAACCAGAAAGCTGGCAGTTCAAACCCACCAGCCACTGCTCGGAAGGAAGGTTGGGCAATCTACTTCCATGGTGATACCACCTCAGAAACCCAAGGAAGGGTCACTATGAGTCGGGTCAAGTTGGGTCCAACTTGGCAGCACGTAACAACAACAACAGAAACCTGACCACCACCACCACCTGAAGACTGCCCGGAATTATGTCTCACTCCACTATTGCCTGTTTTCCAAATATCTGCAATGATGTTGTGATTAATAAGCACATATTCTTCTAAAAGGGCTTGCTAAGTCCTACAGCCTTTGGTCATTGTGTATTTTCTCAGCACAATAACAATTTACAGTACAAATTTGCAGACCTGCAAAATTTATGCATATATGCATGGCTTTATGACCCTGGATGGAGGGGTGAATAGATGGAAAGAAATGTGAGAAAGCAAATAGAACAAAATATGAATTTTCCAATCTAAGTGGTGACCATACAGATGTTCCAAGTTTTTGTGTGTTTTTTTCCCCAAATTTTCTGTAAGGTTGAAAATTTTCATAAAGAGGTCCTTTTGTTTTTTTGGTTTTTCTACTCAAGAAAGTTGGAAGCCTCAGCCCCACTCTACAGCTGTTCTCCCTGTAACTCCCCACAGTGGGGTCTCCCAGGGACCCCTTTCAGAGGTGGGCCCCTAATACTGTACTGCCTGCAGGGTAGATGGGGGGAGGCAGCAGTGAGACCTGGGCGGGCAAAGACAGAACCCCTGGGCAAGTGAGAGGCGCTGCCGGGCTGTTTACCCACGTTGAACAGGCCAGGTGGCAAGACCAGGCAGGGGTGAGTTGGCTCCCTCCGTGTGTCAGACAAGAAACTCTGGTGGTGTAGTGGTTGAAGTATGTGGCTGCTAATCAAAAGGTCAGTCGTTCAAACCCACTGCTGCTGCAGCAGTCTGTTTCTGTAAAGATTTACAGCCCTAGAAACTCAATGGGGGGTCACTCTAAGAGTCAGATTCGCCGCGATGGCAGTGAGTTTGGTTTTGGGTTTTGATGTGCTAGATGGTGGACCCCATGTCCTGCCGATGGGGCTTTTCTGGCCGCCAAAGCCCAGGATGGAAGTGAATTCTAAGTACTATTAACAAAAGTAAAAGCATGAATCCTGCAAATGCTCATCCCATGGTAGGCCCTTGAAGCGAATGCCTTTCAACTGCTCTAGAAGTTTCTCACCTGTATTTCATGAATGGGGTAGAGAGGGTCAGAAAGGTGAGGTCCCTTGCTGAAGTCACAGACAGGAAATGGTTGCACGATATTTGAATAGGTGGCGCCCCTCCTCCCCCTACTTCAACTCTTCACCAAGAGCCCGACGGCGGCGCGAACCTGGAGGCTGTGGAATGAAAGGCGAGCGGGCTCCCCGGGATGAAAGGGGCGACTGCAAATCCTGTTCCCAGGTCCCCGGGTCCAGGCAGAGCGAACACACCTGAGAAAGCGCCCCGCCGCGCAAGCCGCAGGCGTCCCGTGCGCCCGGGGTGCCGTCGCTGGTGGGCGGGTAAGCGCGCCGCGACCAGACGCCTGATGGGGCCGCGGGGGCATATACCTGGGTCGTGGAAGGGCACAAGCACGTAGTTGCTGATGACCTGGCTGCGGCTGCTCAGGCTGCGCTCCAGAATGCGCGAGGCGCCATCTATCACCTGCATCAGGTCGTCCCACATGGAGCCGGTGACGTCGAAAACGAAGGCCAAGGTGGCGTCCCCTGTGGCAGGGGGCAGTGCCGTCTTGAGCGCGCCAGTCGCGGCCGCTGCGGCGGAAACCGCCATCAGCAGCCGCAGGACCGGCGGCGCCGGCATCGTGCTAAGCGCGGCCGACTAGCTGAGGCCGATGCGGGCGGAGGCGCGCAGGTTGCCGAGAGTGCGGTCGATCGCCGGAGTGTACCAGCGACCGCCCGACGCGCGGCTGAAGCGCGGCGCTTCGCTGCCGTCGGACCGCTGCTGGTGCGCGCGGGACAGGGGCTTGCGCGAGGTCCCTCTGCTGGGAGCCCAAGGCGGGTCCTAGAGCCCACCCCGTTCAGGGTCACAGGCCCGCCTCCTTCCCTCCCCGCACCGTGACTCAAACTTTCCCGGCCCCACTGCTCTCCAGTCCAGACCTGAGGTTAGAGGAGGACGCAGGGCGGCTGGCTGAAGTGAGCTGGGGCCATCGGCCAAGGCCGCGAGGGCTGAGGAGACACGGGAGCGGACACCTGCGTCTCCCGCCAATGGCGCGTGCGCAAGGGCTTGACCTGTTGCAGGGGCAGGAGAGGGAGCAGGCGACGCATTGCCTTCTCCCCCAGGTTAGCCAAAGTGGGCACTGGCTTTTGGGGCTCTCGCATCCAGCCCCCCAAGAGATTCACACACACACACACACACACATACACACAAAGTCTACAAAGCTTTATCTTTCTACAGGGCTCTGTGCTTTCCAGTTACTGTAATTATTATCTGTAACCAATCACCATAAATTGATTACCTACCATGTATCGTTTTCAATAGTTCTTATTTTCTTGAATTCTCACTTCAACCTTAGGAGGGAGACACTGACATTAAGCCTGTTTTACAGATGAGCAAACTGGGGCTCAGAGATGTGGAGTCCCTAGGCAACAGCCACACATTTCTCAAGGGATAGAGACAGGATTGCAATCCGGACCTGGTCCAACTCCAAAGCCCTTGGTCTCTGTTGCCTCCCTAAATGTTAAAATGCATTGTTACAGGTTATCTGCTGAATCCAGAGTTTGGATGATACCCTCTGCCCTCATCAGAGGCTGGAGACTGAAGGTTGTGGGACAAGTGTGACATCCTTCCAGTGCTTGCTTTGGGCTGGGTTTAGCCATCCCCTCCCTAGCACTGCTGCCTCCCACGCCCCTACAGGTTCAGGTACCTCACCATTGCTCATCTCAAGTTGTGTTCTCCTATCTCATTTCTGGACTGCTAACCAGAAGGCTGGCGGTTCAAACCCACCAGCCACTCCTCGGAAGGAAGGTTGGGCAATCCTACTTCCGTAGTGATACTGCCTCGGAAACCCAAGGAGGGGTCGCTATGAGTCAGGGATGACTCGACGGCACATAACAACAACAACAACATCTCATTTCTATGGTCTCTCCCTCTTTCACTTGGACTGTGAGCCCTTGAGGGCAAGGCTGAGTCTTGGCCCCCACTAGGTTGACCCCTAGATTCCAGCTCAGTCCGTGGCACATAGTGAGGACTCACTAAATGTTAGCTGGGTAAATAAACCCATGGCAGCTTTTGTGGGCATGCCTGGCTTGGGAGCTATGTGAGAAAGGGCAGCTCTGCCTCCCTCACCCTCCAGTCCTTCCTCCAAGAAGACCAGGCTCCCAGGGCAGGGATAGGCAGCCCCGTGGACATGGCTAAGGGCTCTAGGTCTCTAAGTGGAGAGAGATCTCTGCAGCCCCAGCCCCTCCACAGCCCTGAGCCAGGAGAAAGCCCCCACCCCATACCTCCTCCTTCCCCCTTCCATCCCAGCTCAGATCCCACCTCTGAGGCTATTTCACCACCCTTGTCCTGCAACCTCACAGCCACTTATCTGATCCCTGACCCAGTACTGACCATACTGTGTTATTGGTGTCACTCTCTGTGCATCTGCCCCTCCCCTCAACTGTGGCAGCAGAGCCCCCGTACCTAACATTACTAGGTGCCCAGTGAAATGTGTGTGGTCTGAATGAGGCAGCAGATGTCAGGCCTGGCAGCTGGGATCTGGCCATAGCAGACAGAGGTCATCCTCAGTGGTTCAACTCTGTACCAGAGCAAGCACTTTGTGTCAGAAGGGCTGGGGTCCCAGGGAGATGATCTCCCAAGGAGACACCTGTCTCATGGGATATGGCAGAAGTCAATTCCTGAGACCCAGAGCAAACATGGAATGTGCAACCACACTCAGGGAGGTTGAGTCACCTGCACGTCTGAACACTGCCCCTTTAAATCTCCCTGGACTAAGGCTGTGATTGGCCCCAGAGTTTGGGCAGGGCTGACCAGCTGTTGGAGAGAGAAGAGAGAGGCTCCAGCTGTGCGAAGGCGAACAGGGGCCAGGAACCAAGCAGAGCTCACAAATGGTGACATTTCAGGCACAGTGTGGGGAACATTTGGGGACAAACAGGTCCTTCAGTGATTCATTCTACAGACATTTGCTGAGCCTAAGCTGTGTGTCAGGCACTCTGCTAGGCACTATTAGAGGAGAGGGTGTAAAGATGGTCAGACATGCTTCCTCTCCTGGGGAGATGACACTTGGTAAACAAATAATTCTAAGTCAATGAGATAAGTGCTAGTAGAGGAATTACCACAAACTCTGGGGAATCAGAGGAAGGAGTGGCTGGGCCTAAGGGGTCAGAGGAGGCCACAGTGTGAGCCTAAGCAGCTTAAAGAACAAGAGGGGAAAGGCATTTGAGGAGCGGGAACAGCATGTGCAAAGGTCGGGAGACATGAGAGACCCACTGGCAGCCCAGTGTAACTGGAGGGTGATGGCAGAGAGGACAAAGGCCAGATCTTGAAGGACCTTAACCAGCTGATAAGGGCTCCCATACACACACACTCCCCAAGGCACTGGGAAGCTATTGAAGAAGGTCAGGTAGGAAAGCAACCTGACCCAAATTGCATATCAGACAGGTCCCAGCAGAAATTCAGAGTAGACCTTGTAGATGTCAAGAATGCCCTAAACCTACTCCCTGAGTAAGTAAGAGCAGAGCTGGCCCTAAAAAGCAAGACGCCTTCTTCTCTGGTTACTCATGAGGAGCAAATGGGACCATGGATTTGGAGTCTCATGTGACCTCCCCCTTTCTGGACCTTGGTTTCCCCATTTATACAATGATTGGGGGTAGGGATGTAGGTAACAAGTTGACCTCCAGCATTTTACAGCCCCACCAGTCTAGAACCACAGTCATGGGGTCCCTTGGAAACTCAAGAAGGATTCAAAAGATCTGGCCCTGAACCTATCTTGGCAAAGCAGACCCTAATCTTGCCATGAAAGGGCTCATAACACGGCTCGATCAAAGGATATGTGGCCATGGTTCCACTGCCCACCCAGTGTGGCTTCAGGTGCTGCACCAAGCACATGTCTCTCTGGGTGCTTGGGGTTTCCTGAGAAGGTGACCGTGACCACAACAAGTGAGAGAGCCAGAGGAGCACGAAGGCTGAGAGAAAGTACAATTGAACCTTATCAGTCAATTCCCATCCTACCACCTCCACTTCTCCAGGCCACTTGGGAGCCCCACATTTTTTAACTCAAGATAATTTACATTTTTCTCCTATTTCCAAAAGTAGCAGTCTACTGCTCCACAAGTCCATGGAGTTGTTTGTTTCCTAACATACCACATGTTTGCTGTGGAGAACACCGTCGCCTGGCCCAGATACTTAAAGGAAGCCTGCTCATCCTACCGCCCTCAGCCTGGCTCAGAGTTCCAGCCCCGTCCTCCGTGTCTTCACTAGAAATTCAAGACCAGCTGAGGAGCTGGGTCAGAACCTGGAGCTCTGGACACTTGGCAGACCAAAGAAACATGTCGTCTCTCTACCAGTGGTCCTTCCTTCTTGTTGTTAAGACAAGACAATTTTCAACTCCTAACAACCTCATGGGACAGAATAGAATTACCCCATAGGGCTTTCCTGACTGTAATTTTTTGTGGAAGCAGATCAAATCTTTTTCCCATGGAACCACCAGGTAGGTTCAAACCGCCAACCTTTCTGTTAGCAGCTGAGCACTTAACCATTGCACCACCAGGACTCCTTGGTCCTTCCTCATGCTTCTCTATATTCCTCTCCCTAATTGCATCCTAGCCTGGCCCATATTCAATCCTCTGTGATTCTAACAACCACCACTCACCCTATTTACTCCTGCTCTCTTCCTGAATAAATCAAATCTGTTCTCCTGAGAGAATAAAAATATTAATGGTGCATAAAACCAACCTCACCAAACCAGATGCAGTTGAGTCAATTCTGCCTCATAGTGATCCCACGTGTTGCATAGTAGAACTGCACTCCCTAGGATTTTCAAGGGCACTTTCAAAAGCGGGTCATCAGCCCTTTCTTCTGAGGTACCTCTGAGTAGGTGTGAACCTTTAACAGTTATGATTCAAAGTCAAGCACTAAGCAACTCCACCCAGGAACAACAGTGAATATTTGCCAGACTCCTAGTGAGTGTCAAACACTGTGCTAAACACCTCTTCTTTAGATTTTCCACAAAAACCCCTAACATCAATATTTACTCTTCTTGTACAAATTAAACTGAAGCTTGAGAGGTGAAGTATGTGTCCAGCCTGGACTTTGCGTCCTTGTCTGCTCTTTGCAAAGCCTATGGTCTACGCCATCATTCCACGCTGCCTTAGAAATGTGGGGGAATGTTTGTACAGGAATCCCAGGGAGGAGAGCTTCTTCTAGAGCCAACGTGGACTCAGTGCCGCTCTTACACATGCATGGTCCTTTCCAGCAACGCCTTGGGCAAGACTCGAGTTAGAGGCAGTTAGCATCTTTGAAAAGCAATAATATAATTTCCTCCTAGTGCCTAAGGCACTTGACTGCCAACCAGAAGGCTGGCGGTTCAAACCCACCAGCCACTCCTCGGAAGGAAGATGGGGCAATCTACTTCCCTAGTGATACAGCCTCGGCAACCCAAAGAGAGGTCGCTATGAGTCAGGGCCGACTCCATGGCACATAACAACAACAACAACAACACTCCTGTTTAACCAAACTGCCTGCACAAAAAGAGAAGAGAGAGAGAAATAATTGCATAAATAAAGCAAGTAGTTATGCCCACCGTTTTGTGGACACACACCCAGGGCCTGAGC